ATTAGCATGCAATTGTCCTTAATTTCCCTCGATATTAATGGTCTTCACTTGCCTATAAAAAGACACAGACTAACAGAATGAATACAAAGACAAAAACCATCCTTCTGCTGTATATAAGAAACACACCTCAACTTCAAAGACACATATCGGCTCAGAGTAAAATGTTGGGAAAAGATTTGCCAATCAAATGGATCCAAGAAACAAGCTGGTGTAGTTAACCTAATATCTAGCCAACTACATTTCAAACTAAAACCAATCAAAAGAAATGACGAAGGTCATTTCATATTCATCACAGGAAAAATTCATCAGGATGTAGTCTCTATTCCAAACATCAATGTCCCAAATGCAGAGGCAACCGCTTTCATAAAAGAAACATTACTAAAATTCAAATCACACATAAAACACCCCACTTTCACCATTAGAGAGGACCAGCATATAGAAACTTAAGAAAGAACTAAAAGAAGTTATGACATTGGGCTTAACAGACATCTACAGATCATTCCATACAAACACAAAAGAATATACCTTCTTCTCATTGCCACATCGAACCTTTTCTAAAATCAACCACATAATTGGCAACATAGCAAACCTCAACCAATAAAAAAATAAGGAATAACCCTCTCTGTCTTATCAGACCACCATGCTTTGAAGTTAGAATTAAACAACAACACAAATTGCAGAAACCCTACAAAATCATGGAAATTGGACAATGCACAATTGTACCATTCCTATATCAAGAAAGAAATACAGAAATTAAATACAATGAAAATGAAGACACAACATACCCAAATTTAGGGGACATTTTGAAAGCAGTGCTGAGAGCAAACTTCATAGCACTAGTTCCCACATGAAGAAACTGGAGAATAGTCACACTAGAGAATTAAAAGCACAACTTAAAGCTCTAGAACAAAAAGAAGCAAACTCACCCTAGAAAAGGAGATGCCACAAAATTGAGGGTTAAAATCAATAAAGTAGATACAAAGAAAACAATACAAAGAATCAATGTAACAAACATTTACAAATTGAAAACCCTGATCTTAACCCACATACTTATGAAAACTCTGATTTTTGACAAACAAGCTAAAATTATACAATGGGAAAGAGAAAGCATCTTCAACAAATAGTGCTGGCATAACTGGATGCTGACATGTGAAAGACACCAGAGAGATCCATATCTATCAACATGCACAAAACTTAAATCCAAATGGATCAAAGACCTCAACATAATTCCAGCCACACTAAACCTCTTAGAAGAAAAAGCAGGTGGTACCCTCAAAGGAACCGGTACAGGAGACGGCTTCCTGAATATAACACCAATAGAAGCGGCAGTGACATTGACAATTAATAAATGGGACCTCCTGAAACTGAGAAGCTTCTATAATTCAAAGGACACATCAACAAGACAAAACAATAGCCCACAGAATGGGAAAGGATATACAACATCCCCACAACTGACAGAAGGCTGATTTCCATAATATACAAAAAATTCAGGAAGTTAGTCACCAAAACACCAAATAATGCAATTAAAATAGAGAATTCTCAATAAAGGGATCTAAAATGACTAAAAGACACTTAAGAAAGTGTTCAACACCCTTAGCCATCAGGGAAATACAAATCAAAACAACTCTGAGATCCCATCTTGCTCCGGTCAGAATGGCTAAAATCAAAAACACCAATGACATTCTGTGGTGGAGTGAATGTGGAGAAATATGAACACTCCTCCACTGCTGGTGGGAGTACAAACTCATACAGCCACTTTGGAAATCAGTATGGCATATCCACAGGAAAATGGGAATCAGTCTACCACAAGAAACAGCAATATACCCAAAAGACTCACATTCATACAACAAGGACATCAGTTCATCTGTGTTCATAGCAGCATTATTTGTAATAGCCAGAAACTGGAAGCAACCTAGATGCTCCTCAATTTAAGAATGGGTAAAGAAAATTTGGCACATTTATGCTTGGAGTATCTAAGCAATAATTGAGAGGTTACCTTAAATGCTCTTCCCCAATAATTAGATTTATAATTACATTATATACCATCCTAGAACCTTCATCCACTAGCTGATGGAAGCAGAAGCAGACATCTACAGCAAAACACTGAGCTGAACTCCTGGAATCCAGTTGCAGAGAGGGAGGAGTGATGAGCAATGGGTGTCAAGACCAGACTGGAGAAACCCACAGAAACAGCTGATCTGAACATGGGGGAGCTCATGAACTCCAAACTCAAAGCTGGGAAACCAACATAGGGCTGACCCAGACCCCCTGAAAGTGGGTGTTAGTTAGGAGGCTTGGGCAATCTGTGGGGTCTCTAGTAGTGGATGAGTATTTATCCCTAGTATACAAATGGACTTTGGGAGCCCATTCCACATAGAGGGATACTCTCTCAGCCTAGACACAAGGGGCATGTCCTAGACCCTGCTCCAAATGATATGAGAGTGTTTGAAGATCCCCCATGGAAGGCCTCACCCTCCTTGTGGAGCAGATATGGGATGGGATAGGGGGCTGGTGAGGGGCAGAGGAGGAAGGGAGGGAGAGGGAACTAGGATTGCAATGTAAAACAAGCTTGTTTCTAATTTAAATTAATTATCCTAGTTGTTTACCTCTTGCATCAAATAAATGTATCATGACCAAGTTGTTTTCATTTGAGTTTGAATATTGAAGAATATTGTTGTTTTCGACTATATAGTTTTTCAAAAATAATTTTATCACTTAAAATTTTTTATTTACTTTATGTCCCAATTTCCGTTTCCCTCCCTCCTCCCCTCCTGTTCTCCCTTCCTACCTTCCCTCTCTCTAGCCCCCCCACCATTAACCAACTCCTCCATCTCCATTCAGAAATAAGCAGGTCTCCCAAGGGGGTCACCAAAGCATGGCACATCATTCTGAGGCAGAACCAGGCTCCTCCCCCTGTGTCATGGTTATGCAAGACCAGCCAGCCTAAATGCCAGGCACAGGTCCTGGTCCCAATGCTAGAAGCCCCACAAACAGACCAAGTTATACAACTGTCACACACATGCAGATGGCCTAGTTCAATCCCATGAAGGCTCCCTAGCTGTTGCTTCAGAATTGTTGAGTTCCCAAGATTTCACATCAACTGTCACTGTGGGTTCCTAGTCATGACATTGACACCTCTGCCTTGTCTGTGTACAATCCATTCTCCCGCTCTTCATTGTAACTCCCAGAACTCAGTCCAGTGCTTGACTGTTGATCTCTGCATCTGCTTTCATCAGTTACTGGATGAAGGATCTCTAATGACAATTAGGGTAGTCACCAATCTTATTACAGGAGATGGCCAGCTCAGGCATTCTCTCAATTATTCATGAGAGTCTTAGCTTGTGGATTCTTGGGAGTTTCCCTGGCACAAGGTTTTTCCCTAAACAAGTTCCCCCACTCTATCCTGCCTCTAAGCTGCCTAACTGGACCTTCATGTTCCCAACCCTATCCCTCCCTCAACCCCTACCCACTTTATCCAGCAGATATCTTCTATTCCATGGTTTTAATTTTAAGAAATGAGTAATAGTACTTGAATATTGGGGTTAGGCCAGAGCATGGAAAGGTTAGGTTAAACATGAATGACCAGAAGACAAAAAGACACTGAATGAATATAAAATAAAAGCAATGCAAACATGCTACTTATAGACAAAACGTATCAGAAAAAAACAATCAGCTCATAGCTGAACAATAACTGCCCTGGAGAGGGGATACAAGCAAGAAGCATGGCGAGCTCTATAAATGTGAGATTAGAGTTAAGAGTGTATCATATCAGTGATTATATGTGTGTCTATATTATGCATGTTTATTACAAGACTGGTATACTATTATTAGGTAAAGTTTAATAACATTTTAAAACAAAAGTCAAATATGAAAATGTTCTAATTTGTATATAGCATGGAAAGTGCTATGTATAAGAGGAATATTAATTACAAGATGACTGTTAGAAGCTACATAGACTGTACTAGATATTTTAGGTCTGCTATGGAAAACATACTGACAGGGATTAATGTTTTAGTTACATTTTTGTTTTCATATTGAACATGGGTTTTGATCAGACCAACTTCAACTAACTATATTATAATCTGTGGTGATATTTTGTTTAAGATCTAACAAATAAAGCTTACTTGAAGATCAGAAAAGCAAAGCAGACAACCACTAGCTCTTACCTCTACCTCATACCAAAGGGGCAATCCTGTCCTAAGTGTGACTGCAGACTAACTGACTCCTGTCTCCTCCCGTCTTATATTCCTCTCTAGTACTGGTAATAAAGGCATATACAACCACCACCCAGACTCTACAGCTAACTAGTGTGGTTGCTGGGATTAATGGTGTGTGCCACTGTCTGGCCCTATGGCTGACTAGTGTAGCTAGCTTTGCACTCTAATCTTCAGGGAAGCTTTACTTGTTATTCCATAAACAAAATTCAGGCAACCTTTATTTGTTAGATCATAAACAAAATATCACCACAATAATCTGATTAGCAAATATGGACCCTGACTTACAAACAGGATTGTAAATTCTTTACTGTAGATATATTATGTCTCCAAATTGCATTACCTTCCAAAGGTCTTAGCAAAAGCCTATGTACATGGTCATTTGAGAAATAATCATTCAGTGAATCTAGAACTTTTAGCTAAGACCAGGTGGAAACAGTCCTTGCTAGTTCAAACCCATATTGATTTTCTAAATATCCTGGCTAACTATACATTTGTGTGATATCTTTATGCTTTAAACCCATGAAAGTCTGTTTAGCTGCTCAGAATCTTAACTGTTTATTGCCTTTGAAATTGACATATAATAGTTAAAAAATATAGAAAGTAACAAGAGTGAAGCATTCAGTTAAAAAAATACTTCCCTAAATCACACTAAATTCAAACACTCTACTGAATTGTCATTGATATAGATACTCTAAAGGCAATGTCAATAATATTGAATTTGATAACTATGTGTAGATGATACTACAGGATTGCAGTGGAGTTTTTCTTATATTTTTTTCTTACCTCATATCTGTCTTCATCAATTATTGAGATGTAGTTGGGATGAGTCTTATTTGGGTAGGACAACAACACATCATAATGGGGCAATTCAACTGAATCCAGACCAAATTCTTTCCACTGGGCTTGTATTTGCTTTGCAAGCTCAAAATTGTGTTCTGTTCCAGCCAAATGTGGTATCCGTGTGAAATTACTGGTGAAGAAATATTGAAAGTGTTTTAACATTAATAGTGAGTTTGTCTCTATCTCCAAAAACCAATAAGACAAAGCTGCTATTGTCATGCCTATAATGCAAAATATAGTGCAGTAAATAAAAGATGCATAGAATTTTCCATAAAGAACTTAAAGCCCAAAGTCTCTCATTAAACAGGGTCTATAAGAAACCAGGGGAAGTAATCATTTTCATGCTTTTTTAGCTCCACTGTAGTTAACATAGGCATGTATGTGTATGCCTACAGATATAAAATTCAATTCATATGTAAATACTTAATGGTCTTTTTTATATCAAATCGCTTTATATTCATCAGGAAATCCTTCAGTCATTAAAGGGATTTCAAACATTTTGACCTATATTATTTTAATATGTTGAAAATTATAAAGCATTATAAGTGACTAGATACACTAAATATATATTCATATATTTTGGTTTTAACTAAATGTAAATATAACTTTGTGAAAACTTCTAACTTTTAGTTTCTTGCCATGTAAGGTTCAAACCTCAGTGACAATATTCTTGCCTAGAATGTGCAAAGTACAATACTTTTAAAATTTATTCATTTATTTCTTTTGCTTTAAACTATTTCCATAAGAATAGAATTAGTCTTTAAAATTTCAAAATATCTGCTTTCCAATTTCATCCTTATCACAGCAATATCTTTATGATCATCTCATATATATGACAATAAAGGCTTAGGAAGGTTCATTATTCATTCAAAGTTACTGACCTATCAATAAGCCAAGATGGAGTTTGAACAACTAACTTCTGTGAGATTCTAAAGTCAACCTTTTCTTGATTAAAACATATTATCTTTCTAAAATGATGAGTCAGCAACTTAAGTTTCTCCATCCAAATCTGACTATGATCTGTTTGCTTTCAGTTCACAGGCAAAGAATAGCTTTACATTTTAAGTATTCGAGTAAACATGACAGTATTTTGTAATGCATCAACACATGACAATCAAATTTCAGGGCACATGAGTACAGTTTTGTCAGAACTGGCACGAGAAGTTTCCTCATACTTCCTATTGCTTCTTTTGTGCTGCAGGAGAAAGATTAAGTACTTGTGACAGATTTTTGCTGGTCTGCAATGGCTGGTCATTTATATGAAATGTTTGCTGATTCCCACTCTGGAAGCCTGCTATTGATATGACGTTAAAGCTGAAGTTTTAATCCTTCCCTTAAGGAATTTAATACAAGATTCTCAATAAACAAAACATTATGAAAAGCCAAGTTTTTGTACGTGAAATGTTGTAGCAAAACAATGCTTTTCCAAAATACTACCCATATCAACTTTTAAGTACATGCTTACTATAAAAATTTTTTGATGTTCTCAGCCTTCAATTCATGTAAAAATGCCTTCTTCATGCCAGGATGTGGAACAATGTTAGTAGAGTCACTGGAAGATTTTATAAACCACCCTGAAAAATACAAGCAAATTTATGAATAGGATATGAGCTTAAGACTGGGTATTATTTTTATGTCAAACGCATTTAATTATCTTTTGTATTAGGGATTTTGGTGTTTTATTTCCCTTGCTTGCTTCTTTGTGAAAAGAACATTTCAGTATATGTTTTTTTGTTTTTTAAATAGCAAAGCAAGTGCAGCATATTTTAACCAGATTTCAATTATGTGTGTTGCTGTAACTTTTCAGAAAAGTTTAATAAAGAAATTCAATTTGGTATTATTGTTTCAACTAATGGAGATAAGATGTTTTGAAAATGTATCATTTTCTACATTAGCATCTCTTGCCAGTAATTGCTTGCTTCTTTGTAGAGCTACACTAAGCATTTAACAAATGATTACAATGAATAAATTATTAATACAGTGACTACAGAGATTGCTCAGCAGTTAAGAGTATGTACTGTTCTTGCAATGAACCCAAGTGTGATTCCCAGCACCAACATTTGGCAGTGCACGATTATGGATAACTAGCACTAGAGGAAGTGCCCTCTTCTCCGTGGGCACCAGCTCTCACTCACATCTCATCCAAGAACATTCCCACAGATACAAAAGTATGCAGATAATCAAAAAGAGGATCTTAATTATGGTTGCATTTCAAGTATATAAATTATCTCAAAGCATTGAAGAAAACTCAAACTTTTAGTCTGCTTTGAATTTGAAACTAAAACAAAACATACTGATGTTTTTGTTTCCAGTTGAAGTAGGCTTGAGAAATTGAAGTTTGGAAACCTACAATGAACTATTATGTACTCCATAGCCCTGTAAGAAATCCAATGCCCAGAAAGCCACAAACAGTTTATAACCAGCTCCTTAGTCCCTGGCCTCTTGAGTTTATTTTAATCTGAATGGGATAGGGCATTACTACAGGGTTTACAGAGTATCTGACCTGGGAATAAGGTTATCAGGCCAACCTTCAAGGAACTTTTCCCATTTTTGATCACTTATGCACAAACCAGAAGCACATAAACATGTGCATTGAGACACAGATTTGGATTAAAAAAGGAATATATTATCCCTTCTGAGTATAGAATGGAGGGATCTGGAGATGGCTGTGAGGTTAGGGAAGAACACCCTGAGGATGATAGATTAGAACCGAGGTCTGAAAAAAATATGGAGGAACAAGATAGAGTCATGCTGGGGAGACAGACCATTAAGACACTGACAAACTGAGTCGCTGAGCAGTGAAACCAAAGCTCACAGTGAGGGTAGCAAAGCAGAAAGAATAAATCGTCTTTAGGGCATGTAGCCTTTTGAGTCCTTTGCTAGTCTTTCCAAACTTTGCTTCTCACTTATAAACTGAAATAATGGAAACTCAATTTAAGTTATCTTTCTGAGCAAATACCGAATTGAAGGCCCACAGCAACAATAGGTGGTTAGTGATACCTTTGTGTAGGTTAAGATTGAAGGCTATGGCCCAAGGCTAAGCAACCGGTCCCTAGCCTGTTTTTACAAATCTCAAGAGGTGACTGCGAATTAGGGCAAAGAAAGCCGACTTGAATGACGTCTTAGACTGGACTGTGTATCAAAGTCAGTTAGAAAGAAAACCTGAGTCTGTCATTTGACTCTAGATATCGAAGGAAGTGGCGATAGGGTGGGAGGCTGGTGGGGATAGTGAGGTTTGCGGGAAGAGGGAAGGAAGAGGGAACTGGAATTGGCATGTAAAACAAGCTATTTAAAATAATAATAATAATAATAATAATAATAATAATAAAGAAGACCTGAACATTGCCCTAGGAAAGCCCGCATGCTGTTTCAAGTTCTATTGTCTCTAAATTGCTCATATTAGCTTCGTCATAAAGATAAGGAATCAGTGACTTTTTCACAGTGCGAATTAGTGATACAAATTCGGAATTCATATCTGTGCTAGCCTGTGCAGCTCAAGTTTTTTTTTGCAGAGTTGGGTTAACTCCTAACTCTGAACTAAGCTCAAAGACCTCCTGCTAAGAACGTGCTGACTGTAATTAACATTTCCCAGAATGTGACTCTGTTAGGACCAAGGTGAACAGAAGGAGACTCCGTTCACAGCAATTCCTTGGTGGTACCCCAGAAACAGCCCTAGGTATGAGCCAAAGAGCCAAATGAAATTCCAAACAAGCAAGAAGCACTCAATGTTAAACTTGCTGACTGATCTGGATCATAAGGTTCAGTGACTCAAATCCTGCTCCAGTTCTGCTTTTTCTTTTTTTCTTTTCTTTTTTCTTCTTTTTTTTTTAATCTGACGTTAATCTGTGCAGCACAATCCTATAAGCAATTTATTCAAAACTCAATCCGGCACAGACCTCAACAAACCACCGCTTTACTCACAGGGATTGCTCCTTCCTTCCCCCTCCCAAATCAAGACATTCAAGGGGAAGAAAGTATGACAGGATCTCCTCTGGTACACACAGAGCTGCAGAGTGCAGAACAGGAAGGAAAGTGGGCCGCCAAGTCAGGATTCTGTGGTTTGCCCCGCAAATGCACCCTACCGAAGACGAAGCCAATGATGAAGATTCCGGAGAAAGCCAGCACCAGTGTCCCTGCGCAGAGCCAGCGCTGGCGGGGTCCCGGGTCCACCACAGAGTCGCTGTCCTGCAGCGGGTTCCACATCTTAGACCACTCTGCTCTTCCTCCTCCTTCAGGTCTCCTGTGGCCCCACAGCAGCGCCTCTGCTGGCCAAAATTTCCTCCCACTTCTGCCCTGGGGAACAGAAGCCGTTCCCAAGACTTTCTCCTCCCCCAGATATTTCTGGTTTACTCTGAGCCAATTGGACTACATAGAGAGATAAACAATACCAGTAAGCAAAGATAACGTGCCAAGTAGCACAGCCTGTATTTAAAAAGTATTATGGACTCCTTATTCTTGCTTAATGATCCGCATTAACCACAACAAACCTTGTTTGAGGGAAGTGACTTCATCCTGATGAACTCACATTTACACACATGAGTGCACATTCTCCTTTTCCTAAGAGCTTCTCTTTCTGTTAACCCTATGCTCATGTCTATGTTAAATTATTTTCCTGATAAACTCACCCACACAAGCGCGAACACATACACACAACAAAAACACACACTCCTTATTTTTGGAGAGGTAGATAAATTAAACTGTGACCCGAATATCACCATTCTTTTCTTATTGAAGGAGTCATCGATTCAGATAGAAATACTGAATGAAGAAAAGATGGTTTTATTAAACCTTGGTCATCAGTTCTTACAGAATTCTCTGAAATCTCCCATAGGATAAGACTGGTTTCTGACAAGCACTCGGCAAACAATTTGCATGCGATGAATAGGGATAAATGACCTGTACAGCGACTTTTGCTGCCTGAGCATAAAGAGGTATTTTTCTAGAGATCCTTTTAAAACAGTAAAGCAAAATCAGGCAGAGCAAAAGCAAGACAAGCACATGAAATGGCTTACTCTGGGACTCTGGTTTTGGTTCTGTACAGCACCACACCTTTTGTAATAATGCAATTAGTGTTCTAATTCCTTCACACCCAGGTAAAATACACATATACTCATCTAAAAACCTCAGAACTCCCTCAGACCCCACCTGTAGCAGACCACATGAACTCAGATCTTTGAACAGTAGTCTACGTTTCCCTGCTCCTAGTAACAAGGCAGTGGTGGCGCACGCCTTTAATCCCAGCACTCAGGAGGCAGAGGCAGGCGGATCTCTGTGAGTTCGAGGCCAGGCTGGACCGACAGCCTCCAAAACAGAGAAACCCTGTCTCTTAAAAACCAAATATATATATATATATATATATATATATATATATATATATATGTATGTATATATATATTACCAATGTACCTAAATATGAAGAGTAGAAGAGTGGAGCCAGTTTTGGAAAACTGCTCTGTAAAGCAATTATGCCATATAACAACTTTTATAGAGAAAACCCCTTTGTGCCTATGTGTTACTGGGCATGTAAATGATTAAAATAAAAATATATATTACAAAGAAAGACATATAATAGAAAATACATATCATCAATCAGTCAAAATAGACATCCACCCAAACTACATGTCTTCCCCCCTTCTTTTAGATGTTATAAAACTCAGGCTATGTATTCTAATCCTTGGGAACCCTCACTCATAGTCTGCTATCATTATTGATGATATATTCTTCTACAGTCAGTAATCTGAATAAGTTTAGCTTGATTATTTTGCAAACCTTTGTGAGATCTTAATTTCAGTATTTTGGATACTGGAAATACCTGTATCTGGAAATACCTGGCCAGGACACTGACAACCAAAAACAAAAGTATATAGGTTTAATTCAGTGATTTCCATATGTAGGAGAAACAAGAGACAGTTCCATGCAGCTACGCACAGCTTCTTAAGGAGTTCCTTAATCCTTCATGGAACTGGACCCTGGTAAACCTGTGTCTTTGGCTTTTACACAGAAAAATCTTTCAGGATAAGCCAGTGCAAGTCAAGATTAAAGTTATTAAAGGGAATGTCTAAGAGAATGGAGATCTTTGGAAGAAAGTAACTCATACCCCAGCATGGGTGTGACTTTTCTAAGAGAGTTGCAATTCCTTTCTAATGCCATATATGCGATTTTTCGTTGGTTTTGAAGCTATAATCTTCTGAGTGTTGTTAAAAAATCTAAATGATATAATAGGGTTGTTTCTGTCATCCATCTGACAGAATTATGATTGATAAAGTGAAGATATAAAGCTGCAGGGAATAACTTCATTGTAAAAAAGAAATTATCTTGTTTGGGAAACACACAGCAAGTCACAGAGTGTGAAATGACACCATTCCCAAGATCATAAGTGCTTAGTCCTTAGCCTGGGTCATTGCCACTCAATAGTAAATACCTACAGCATCTATGTGAAAGAAAATGTTAATTGGGAAATACCTCTCAGTTCTCAGCTAAGAGACATGAACATACTTCAGGATGAGGTTTCCTTTTCCTTGTCATCTTCCCATAATGTGTACTGAGTATCCTGACCCATGAGCAGATAAGTTCCCTGTCCTTTAGTAGAAAGTGTTCATCTACTTCTTTTCTTTTGTCTGAAATCTAGTCTTATCACCATGGGCCAAAAAGTGGCAAGGAACTCAAACATCTCCAAATCCTTATTGGTTTAAGGTTTTCTGAATTGGGGTTTCTGACTCTTGGGACTATAATGTTTTACACAAATCACTAATTAGTAGGTAATACAATCCCCTTCTGGGTATGCTTTGTATTGACTAGATGGAAATATTTCCTAATTCTTCAGCTGAAATGACTTAAAAGTCCTTTGGAAAAGGACTTTCACTGTCACTGTGTAGGTCTGATTGTCCTGAAACCATAGAGAACCAAGTGTCTCTGCCTCCTGAATATTGAGATTAATGGTGTGTGGTGCTTCATCCTGCGTTAAAATGAGTTTTCTTTTAATAAATCTTGGAATTAGACTTGTAGCAGGACTCAGAAGACTGGAAGACGTAACAACATACTATTGTCAGATTAATTCTCCAAGACTTTTGCGTTATGTTTTAAATCTCCCAATTCAGAAATCTTCAGTGGTTCCCAGGTAACAATAAAATTAGTCTAAATTCTGGGACAAAACCTAAAGGCTGTCTACACTTTAGGCTCTTTCCAGCAGCTCTAACATTAACTGCCATGTACTCTTGTGCTGCTTCCTTAATCTCATTCGTTATACTCACTCGTTATACTCACTCATAGAACAGGATAATAAAATATTATTTGTAATACAGGTGTCAGAAGGGTTAGCATAGAGTTCTGGCCCTGTAGAAATGGATATGTGAATGGAACATGCTGCATCCTCCTCTTTCAAAGCAAGTTTATTAAAAAGAAACTTTTTACCATCTATTTGTTCAAATATTTTCAAATTGAACTTCACATATATATCCAGTAGTCACCTTTGTTTAAAACCAAAAAATTACATTGTGTTCACCAACCCTGAATGAAATCCATTGTCTTGAGAACAATAAAGAAATACATTTCAAACAACAAAATGAGGTAGATGCACGCAAATTCAGAGAGATGAGGTCAGTTGAAATGAAAATTAGGCATATAAATCTTGCTACACATATTAGTTAAGTCAAAGTATTATTCCCTGTGGGGTTCAGCCCTTAGAGAAAGGAGTAAACTAACTTACGTTGTTTTATCTCTAGTCTTCAAGAAAGAAAAATATATCTATTTCAGAGAGGCATGAGTTCTTTGTCATTACTGAATAGAAAACTGAGTCGTGGAGCCCTGAGTATGGGGTTAGGATGTTGCCCAGTTGTTCCTGGTAGAAAGTGGTACCAGCAGGACCTTCAGCTGCTATGGTCACAGGCTTCTCTAGATGGCTGCAAGCCCAGGCACTGAGCCTGGAGTCACTGGATGTCAGTGGTGCCAGTTGGTGCTTTTGGCATAGAGTATCCCTGAGTTAGGAAGGATGAGGTAGTGGTCACCAGGAAAACCTGTGGGTGAGTAATGAAAATAAGGACTCTGGTTCATTGGTAAAGAGAAGTGTCATGTCCGTTTCCTTCTAGAATATCCTAATACAGAGGCCAGTGCTGGCCACTCATCTAGCCCTGCCATTAACCTTCTAAATGTCCTTGGGTTGCAGTGATCCTTCATTGGGCATTGATCTTTGGGTTGTCTAGTTCTGGTCTTCAAGGGCTTGCATCCAGTCCCCACATGCCAGGACTGGCCTCCTACATGGAAGTTACAGGTAGATGGAAGTTTGTTCCAAACTAGCCTCCAACAGAGACCAACTTGGGTTCCAATTGTTTCATGGAATGCTACTCATATTTAGGAAAGCTCCTCAAGGACACAAAAGTTCCTGGGATCTGGGTGGCTTGGCTGTGGAGCAGGAATCGGACTCTGAGTGACTGGCTGCCAGGACACAGGACACAATGTACATCACAGACTTTTGAACCTCAAGGGTGGTCATAAGGATGCTGACATCAAGGTGAGGAACGTGGAAGTCGCCAATTATTTTAAGTCCAGATTGGCATCTAGGTTGTTAAGGTCAAACTTTAGGAGGAAAATGAGGAGCATACCCACACAGATCTGCAGCACCAGGGAAACAAAAATGAGTACAAAGGAGAAGACAGGGACCTGCTGAACCTCAACCTTGAGTCAGCATGCCATTCAGCCATTCTTTTCTTGTATAATGGCTCACATTTTTCTTTTGTGTGTATCTCTGGATTCAGTTTGTCAAGCACAGGTACAGGTAAGTTTTGAGCTCCTACTGAAAGGTGCCAGACTCCTAGGTACAAGAGCCCCCATCTCCATCCAGGTCCTAAGAACATCATGGAATATGCTGATGCTCCTATAACGCTTTTTCTCCAGAATTTTGTTTGGGAGCTACAATACAATGTGCTAAACACTATTTCTTCAAGGAAGAATGAACCCTAATTTATAGCACTTGCTGAACGAATTCCATGATGTATGTATTCCCACCATGGCCAGTTTAAAGAAAATTAATTATATATTATGTAGTGTGGGGTTGAAAAGAGATGTGAGTTGATAGGAGCAGGTTTCTGCACCCCACAAACTAGTTTCTGAACAATAATTGTCCATGGGCCAACAGTTCTTAACTTTAAGTTTTACACACTAGCTAAGACCAACAAATAGTCTCTCTCTGTTTCTCTCTATCTGTCTCTCTCTCTTTCTCTCTCTCTCTTTCTCTTTCTCCTCTCCTCTCCTCTCCTCTTCTTAACTCTTCTCTTCCCTCTT